TAACTTTTATCTTTTTTATTTATTCATTTTTACCTTTTTTATTTACTCAGTACCTCAGCTTTCTAATATTTTATGTATCTGTAGAAGCTCTGGAAAACTAAAGGTACCAAATAACTGCATAATAAATGAATTTGGGAATTACTCTTGGTATTGATTCTGGGATTTTGATTTGGGAATTGCTCTTGGTATTGATTCTGGGATTTTGATTTGGGAATTGCTCTTGGTATTGATTCTGGGATTTTGATTTGGGAATTACTCTTGGTATTGATTCTGGGATTTTGATTTGGGAATTACTCTTGGTTTTGATTCTGGGCATTTGATTCTTATGAGTGACACTTTAGCAACAGGACAACAGTGAAAACCACTTAATTCTAATGAAGGAAACTTGCCCTGATGTTGAGGAAAAACTTCCATATGGAATTTAATCACCATTTATTAATTCTTAAGGGTTTTTTTTTTGTCTAGATACCTTGCCAGAGTGACTGACACTGAAGCTACAGACACAAACAACCCCAATTTGAACTATGGGATTGTGGTGGACTGTGGCAGCAGTGGCTCAAGGATCTTTGTGTACTGTTGGCCAAGGCACAATGGCAATCCCCACGACCTCCTGGACATCAAACAGATGAGGGACAAGAACAGAAAACCTGTGGTGATGAAAATTAAACCAGGTACTGGGAGGAAATGCAGTTGGGGTGGGATTTTCTAGCTGGCTGCCTGACCTCACTTGGCTTTTTCAAACCCTGGGTTGGTTAGAGAGTCTGGGTGAAGGACACGTGTGAGCTGGCAGTGTGGCACTCACCCAGATTTCCTTGGGTTTGGTTTGCAGAGAGCTTGGTTCAGCTTAACACTGAGAAAAATGGGGCACTGACTGGTTTTATTTGCTTTATTTGCTTAGAGAATTGAGCATTAGCTTCATTCTTATTTCTGTGGTGTTTTCTTGCATTTGGCTCTGGGTTGTTGGTTTCTTCTGGGTCTTGGTTATGAAGATTTTCCAGGAAATACCCAAAGCCTGAGTTGCTTCACTCTCACCCTTCTGTTTCACCAGGCATTTCAGAGTTTGCCAGCTCTCCTGAAAAGGTCAGTGATTATATTTCTCCCCTCCTGAGCTTTGCTGCTGAACACGTGCCACGGGCGAAACACAAAGAGACTCCTCTTTATATCCTGTGCACTGCAGGGATGAGGATCCTGCCAGAAAGGTGATTGCCTGTCTTATTAGCCTTTCAGATAGAGACCCTGCTGTGTCTGGCTGCTTCTAACTGCTCAAAATGTGGGTTTTGCAGCCAGCAGAAGGCAATTCTTGAAGATCTGCTCACTGATATCCCCGTGCAGTTTGATTTTCTCTTCTCGGACTCGCACGCAGAGGTGATCTCAGGGAAGCAGGAAGGTGGGTTCATGTCAGAAGTGTTTATGACTTTCACAAAATAACTTGGGTTTATTTTGTTGTTGTTGTTGTTGTTGCTGCTTTTAAAAGTTCTGGTTTGGTGAGGAGACCTCATTCCTCAGTGGGAATAGAGTGTGGAGAAGATCATCTGTGGTCTTCTGACTTGTCTAAATGGTTTCTAATGAGCAGCCAAAGAAACTTCTCTGTGTTTAGCAGGAATTTTACTCCATTTTCTCTGGCTTTGGGGAGGGAGGGGTGAGGATAAGACACAACATTCTTGAGGGAGGAAACTTTACAGGGAAAATGGCTTCTGAAGGAGCTATGTCCAACTGCAATGTCCAACTCTGTTCCCTTCTGCGTGCAGGAGTATACGCCTGGATTGGCATCAACTTTGTTCTTGGCAGATTTGAACACGCAGATGATGGTGAGTATCTTCACTGCAACTTGGATTTTAGGAAGAACTTCAATTACATGGCTCTACTTTCACCATTTCTGGTGTGTTTAGAGAGGGAATGTTGGTTAGAGATGCTGATGTTGGTTAAATTTACCTGCGAAACTTCAATAACCTGCCTTGCTCCAAAAAAAAAAGAAGTAGCCTCACTGCTTTAGGCCCAGCCTGGTTGAATTTCTTCAAAAATTTCTGGTTTTTTGTTGTTTTATCCAGAGGATGAGGCAATGGTGGAGGTGCATGTCCCAGGGAGTGAAAACAGAGAGTCCATCTTCCGTAAGAGGACTGTGGGTATTCTTGACATGGGCGGAGTGTCGACTCAGATAGCATATGAAGTCCCAAAAACTGTAAGCTTTGCCTCTTCACAGCAGGTTATTATCTGTGAAACTCTTTCTTCTTTTCCTTTGGATTCATTTTAACCCATAGTCGTTTTGTTTTCTTTGTTTTGAGTCCTCTCCTTGGTTACACCCCATTCCAAAGCCCAGGCAAGGGAAGGTGGTAAATCCGAGTCCTTCATCAGCTAAGCAGTTCATTGGCATCTTCCCTCAGAGCTTTTATTTCAATTAGCATCATTTGCCACTAATTAAGTTTAAGCAAACGTGGATTCTTTGTGTGTGTGCATGGATGTACAGTTTTTAAGTGTGTTGTAATTAAGAGCCTGTATTCTGGAGTTTAGAGACCAAAAGTTGTGTGGTTCTTCTTACAGAAAAGCTCCTGTGACTTCTTCATTTAAGTTGGGTTGATAGAAACTGGGTTAATGGGACATGGGGGTGGTAATACAGTTTGTTTAAACATCTCCTACATCCTCAGCACAGTTCATCTGCTGCAGGAGGCAGATTTCTTTGTTACAAGTCTTAAAGGGATTGAAGTTGGAGCATTTTATGTTCTGCTGAGTTCTAGAGTAATCCCTGAATTTTTTTCTCCCATTAACTTAATTGAGAAATTATCTAAAGCAAGAATAACATAAAACCCCTGTGTTTTGACTCTCAACACTCTGTTACAATGAGTTATATCTTATTTTGTTTAAATCTTCCTGGGAAATGCTGAGTTTTCATTGTTACAGGTTTCACTAACTCCACTGCCTTTCAGACAGAGGCTGTCACAAATAGTTTGGGCTGTCAAACCAAAGTGTGGGCATTTAGATTGAGAGCAGATTGCCTCAATAAAACATGAATCAGAAACAGGAAGAGCTGCTGACAATGAAGGATGGATGTTTTAGGGCTTTATCTGAGCATAGAGTGATATAAAATAGGAATTCTGGTCACAGAACCTGCCCAGGTTCCCAGAGGGTGACAAGAGGGTCAAAGTTCTGGCTGTGACACTTGGGCTGCTGGTGCTGCTTCTCCCTTACACCACGTTGTGGTGGCTGTGTAGTGTTAGGCCACACTGCTGAGCATCTTCCACATGAAGAGCTCCTGCCACGTGTCTCTTAAATACCTGAAAAGCTGGTGTGTGAGGGGAGCTGGGTGGGTGACACTGAAAACCTTGAGAATTCCAGGATGGAAAAGGAAGAAGAGCTCTGCTGGGCCATGAATCTACCCAGCCCAGCAATCAGTACTGGATGGGCTTGGTCAGAAGTGGGGACATGGAGCTCAGTAGCCACAGCACGTGGGGCTTCATAGGAAAAGAAACTTTAGTGTCCACAGCAGCAGCTCTTGGCCTCTGCAGTTCCTTGGCTATCAGTAATGATAATGCAGGTCTCACCCTACCAAGCAGAAGGTGATGTGGACCTGGTGGACCTGTGAAAAGCAAACTGGATGAGTTAGAATTAGTGTAATTAGTGTTAGAATGAAGTTAGAAGGTGTCAAGGGCATCCAGTTGTCCCCAGAACTCATCTTTAGCTTCTGGTTCATCTTGTTTCTACCTAATCTCAATGCTTGTGTTCCTGCAGGAGGAAGTAGCCAAGAACTTACTTGCAGAGTTCAACTTGGGCTGTGATGCTCACCAAACTGAGCATGTCTACAGGGTCTATGTTGCCACATTCCTGGGCTTTGGAGGGAATGCAGCACGCCAGAGATATGAGGACAGTCTGTTTAGCAGCACAGTGCTTAAAAACAGGTACCTGGCTGCAGTCACCTGGGGATGTGGGTTCTGTGCACCACCAGGAACCTCTTAATATATTTAATAACCTCTTAATATATTTAATAACCTCTTAATATATTTAATAACCTCTTAATATATTCAATAACCTCAGCCTCAGTAACCTCTTGAATATATTTAATAGTGTCCTGATAGAAAACTCCATTTCTGCAGCGTGCCACCCGCAGTGCTGAACTTTTTCAACAGGGACACTGGGCTGGGGTGCTGCTGTGTAGCTCAGAACTTGGGGTTTCTGATACACAGCTCTTCCTCTGCTCCCTTTATTTTCTTGCAGGCTGCTGGGCAAACAGACTGGCCTGAGTTCTGAGTCACCCTACCTAGATCCCTGCCTGCCCCTGGACGCCGAGGACGAGATCCAGCAGAATGGGCAGAGGATGTACCTGAGGGGCACTGGGGATTTCCATCTGTGTCGTGAAATCCTTCAGCCCTTCATGAACAAGACTAATGAAACCCAGACCTCTCTCAACGGGGTCTATCAGCCTGCTGTGCACTTCCAGAACAGTGAATTTTATGGTTTCTCAGAGTTCTACTACTGCACTGAGGATGTGTTACGCATGGGAGGAGATTACAATGCTGTTAGATTTACTAAAGCTGCAAAGGTAAAGTGTTTTCTTCAGAGAAACCTCCTCTAATCCAAAACAGCTACTCTCCAGAAGCACTTTGTTCTGAAAGCCTGGCAACAAAACTCTTCCTGGAAAGATCCAGAATCCTTTTAACCCTGCAATGAGCTGTCACAGGGCATCTCTTTCCTTACTGGGTTTTCTTTTAGGGTTCTTGTCTCAAGGCACAATGGTAAAATTGGCTGTAGAGAGAGTGGAACTCATGGTAGTGAAGCTCCAGCAGGACTCTTGACCATGGGGAAATCATTGCTGCCTCCACTCCTTGTTTTTTAGTTGTTAAATCCCTTTTCCTCCTGCTTTACACATCTGGTGCTGGTTTCCCTGGTGTTACTCTGAACAGGCATCTGTTTGGGACAGTTTAAGGCTACAGCATAAAGTAAAAATACAATCAGTGCTTTGTCAGTGCCTTAAAATAGTCTCTTTTTCATCTCCAAGTTCATGGCCAAAGGGTTTAAGTGCTAATTGGACCACAAATGGATCAAAATGTTACAGAAAACACCATAAAATTTATGATCTTATTAGCAGTGCAGGGGGAGTTGTTCTTTTTGAGTTTTCCAGCTTTTGATATTTACAGAGCATCTTATCTAGTGACCTTTTTTTTTTGTCTTCTGAAGGCAGAAGCAGTTTTTGAAGTGTTTTTCTTTTCTTTTCTTGAAGGATTATTGTGCCACTAAGTGGTCTGTCCTCCGGGAGCGTTTTGACCGTGGCCTTTATGCCTCACATGCTGATCTCCACAGACTGAAGTGAGTATTTGTGTTTGTACAGTCAACCCATTCATGCAGAGCTGCCAGGGAGAGCTCGAGGTCGTGCCCCAATTAATGAAATAATTGAAGGTGTGAATACAACCTTCAATCTTGCATCAGTCTTCAAGAAAAAAAAAGGGTGATAATTGTGTTGTCTGATTGTGCTCCCCAGTTCTCTGGGACTCTAACTGCTGGCCTGACTTTATGCCACTCTTTCTATAGGTACCAGTGTTTTAAATCTGCCTGGATGTATGAAGTGTTTCACAGTGGCTTCTCTTTTCCTGTGAGTTACAGCAATTTGAAAACAGCTCTGCAGGTTTATGATAAAGAGGTGCAGTGGACCTTGGGAGCCATTCTTTACAGAACAAGGTTCTTACCTTTGAGGTACCAGTTGTTCTCAAATATCTGCAGGGAATGTTTGGGTGGAAAGGATGGGATTTTTGTGAGGGGAGGAAGTAGGATGATAGCTCTAGTGCTACTTGATAAAGACTCTTCTACTGAAATGGGCTCTCTGGTGAGATAGGCCAAGGGCTGGGTCCTGCCCTTGGCAGGGTGATAGGAAAGCAGCTGATGGTTGGGGGTGACAAGATGATGTTTCTAGTGCATGCTGTGTAACCTCAGTGTATATTTCAGGTAGCTCTAGTGCTACTTGATAAAGACTCTTCTACTGAAATGGGCTCTCTGGTGAGATAGGCCAAGGGCTGGGTCCTGCCCTTGGGTCACAACAACCCCCTGCACTGCTCCAGGCTGGGGGAAGAGCAGCTGGAAACTGCCTGGCACAAAAGGACCTGGCCAGGGTTGGTTGACAGCCAGCTGGAGATGAGCCAGTGTGGGCCCAGGTGGCCCAGAAGGCCACCAGCATCTTGGCCTGGATCAGCACTAGTGTGGCCAGCAGGATCACAGCAGGGATTGTCCAACTGGACTGGGCACTGGGGAGGCTGGCCCTCAAATCCTGGGGTCAGTTTTGGGCCCCTCCCTCCCAGAAGGACCTTGAGGGGCTGGAGCGTGGCCAGAGAAGGGCAACGGAGCTGCTGGGGAAGGGTCTAGAGGCCAAGTGTGGGGAGGAGCAGCTGAGGGAGCTGGGGGTGCTGAGCCTGGAGCAAAGGAGGCTCAGGGGAGACCTTCTGGCTCTGCACAGCTCCTGACAGGAGCCTGGAGCCAGGGGGGGGTCGGGCTCTGCTCCCAAGG